CCCACCAATCTGCTTGCCGTTCAATAATTGTATCACTCTCTCAGCTTCGACATCTGTCTTGAGCTTTACGATGGCAGTGCCCTTCCTGGGGAACATGGTAACATACACCGACAAGTCGCCATTAGAGAGCTCACCGATCAAACCCTTCGTCTCTCGAAAGGTCCAATGGAAGGGTAGGCCGCTAATATACACCTGGACTCTCGCTCTACTGTCGATCTCCGCGTTGTGCAACTCGGCTGAATGGGCTCCCGGCTGGCCTTTCTTAGGGGGGTAAAATGATTTTTGCAACTGTCATTCATTTTTGCAACGTACAGTTGTGCAACTGTTGCTCTTCCTGCAATTGGTATCATCACTAATGCAATTTTTCCCTGTGTTGCAAAACTGTGCTAGCTGAGGGTTTTTCGCAACCACCAGCGGACTCCGCCGCCGGTGGACCGCCGGAAGTTGGCGCGGAGTTTGGAGTTTTCATGACGGTCGAAGGTTCAATCCCCAGCACTGTGCTGGCAGCACAGGCTTTTTTACCGTACACCTGGATGGCGTCAAATCCAATAGATTGCTTGGGCGCACGCTCTTTGCAACGGTAGTACGTCACATCCGTTGGGGCGGCGAGCAATGTCGTATGATTCGCACAATGTATCGTTTTCTGAGTGTTTGAGTTGTTCAATGTGTCACAATGTTCGCCTTTTGAGGGTTTGACTGATGTAGTCGTTGGGAAGGAGTTGAACCTCATGTATGCTCATGTAACGCTCCTCGTAATTGCTCAGGTTTTGTTGAGTTAAATCAAATTGGAGTCAATATACGTCCCGCAAATTATAAAACTCACCCCATGGATGTTTTCGAAACACTGTAGGCTACACCCCGAAGCTCAAGTCTCTTACATGCTGAGTTTTGGAACGCAAACCTTTAACTACTGAAAGCAGCATGGTATTTCATTGAACATTCGAGGTGCAATTCAGCTGTTGAATCCACCATCTAAACTGCTCAATCGATATACTGTAAATCATTTTTTCGAATTTAGTTTACCAGCACTGCTCGGCACGGAGAGGACTGCTCAATTTACTGCTCTGAGAGCAGTAAGTTTATCACAACTTCGCAAATTACACAAACTAAATGTTTGAAACTGAGGAACGTGGTTCAAGAAGCTCATGTTGAGAGCGAATTTCGCTGCACGTTCTCTCGTGTGCAGCAATGTGCTCAAGTTTCATCTTCGTAACCTGAGCTTTCCAGTTGGTTCTTTCTTAGACCGATACTTGTAATTGCTATAATTATGAGTGCTAAGTACCATGATGGGACTGACAACTTACCGAGATGGCATACCTGGGACGGCAACCAGTACGCGGAAGTTCCGCGGAAGTTCCACGGCGGAACAGCAAGGTACAGATGACTTTTTGGGTGCTCGGCGTAACTGTTCCCCGTACTCATCACACTGAGACACTCGTGGGACTGCTAACGGTCATCATGGATGGCCCAGCTGGGGAGATACTTCAAGTCACGCGTCTTGGAGTTGGGGTCCGCAAGATGACGGATCATGGAGTTACGACAGTTGGTACGGCTGGTATCGCTCCGACGCCCGTGGGAATGCGACCTCGTCCTGTTGGGGAATCGATGATAATAGAATTGGTACGGTAGTGAATGCCATGATCATTCCTGCTGGAGTCAAAATGATGGAAGGGGCGAGGCGCCCGAGACTCCACTGGTAGTAAATAACTACTAGTAATGGATTATAGTATACAATTGATCGGACATTCAATGCCACACATTCCTGACTCAGGAATCCTGAGCCATGTTCATCCTTTCAATATTGACTGTTAAGTAGTGATATTACACTTGTTATAATGACTGCATTGAATGTACTGCATTCTTGTATCTTTCTAATATCAATCGTAGGCCCTAATCTGTAGTACTGTTACTCAACGGATCGCTGATGGTGCACTTCGAAAAAACGGACGACCTCAGTATTAGGGCCCAGCGTTGAAAAAGAATAAGACGGATATTACGCCATTGAAGGATAGTGGTGTAGACGAGCTACCTCCCGGTGTTGATGCAACTTTATAACTAGCTGATTAGCTCATAATTCTATAATTTATTTCGTGAGGGATGTGAATGAGTTTCTCAAGCCTTTGAAATGGAGGTCTGAGTTTCATTAACCTAGTTACGGATAGAAAATCGTTTCGTGCGGATGATAAACAACTGAGAACTCTCCAGCCGCTGGATCTCGAGGGGTCACTCTCCACACTGTGGGGAGCGAGCGGAGCCACTGGAGCCTCCAGTCTGGAGGTTCCATCTATGTTCGCCGAAATCGTTCTGCCAAAAAAGTGTGGGAAATGTGTGAAAACTGGAAACTTGTGCGAAATGTGGAACCTTGAGTGTGAAAAATCGACATGTGCTGCGAAATTATTCATGTGTTGCAAAAACAGGCATGTGTTGCAAAAGTGATCCCCAGGTTGAGAAAATCTAGGAAAGGTATTGTTGAGGTTATGCCGCCACGGACTGAACTCATTGCCATTAAAGTCTCAAGGAAAGACTAACTTGAATAGCTTAGTAATCGAATCTATCTACCTAATAATAGGGATGGCCATAGCTCGGCCCGAGCAAAAGCACGCGTGCCCATCAGGGTCGCACGCAAGCACAACTAGGTGGCCCGCACAACGGGCCTCAGACCAGAACACTGCCCACGAGCGATCATCCTATATAGTGCTGATCATTGATTAGCACTGACATGCCCCCCGGATGATCGATAGTAAGGACGAGCGTTGAAATAGTGAACCTCCTTGATGATATCGGGAGTCACCGATGCAGGAGGGACGTTCGACTTCACCAACTGAAGAGTAACCTTACCCAGAACGCGGTGAACTCGGTAGACCTCGTGTCCATAGCTGCCACCGCCCATGGGGTTAGGCACGAACACGAGAACCTCGGATCCAACTTTAGGGGGACCACGTCTGGGGAACCTTTTAACCGCAGAAGCCGAATTAGAGGCATTCAGAGCCTCAGATACCAAACGATCCACGTAATCACCGTCCTCACGCCTCTGACGAGCTTGCTCTTCATCCGCTGGTACGAGAGCTCCAGAATTGACATCGTGGAGGGCGTTGTCCACAGGAAACCTTCGTGGTCTAGCGAAGAAAATCTCGTGGGGCGATAGACCGATCCCATCTATAGGCTTAGCGTTGAGTCTGGCGAGAACCCGGTGGATCTGAGAGGACCACGAGCGCTTAGACGCCAACTGACGAGTAATAAACTTGATGGCAGAGATCGAGCGCTCGACCAAGCCGTTGGAGAATGCCGCGTAAGGGGGCAGCGCATGATGGACCACACCTTGTGAAGCCAAGTACTCCGTGAACTTCCGCCCCCTGAAACAGGGACCACAATCTGATCGAAGTTGTCCCATTGGACCGAAGATACCGATGAAGGTCGAGAGAGCACCAATGACCGAAGACGAAGAGCTGCTTCGCAGAGGAGCTACAAGAGCGAAGCGACTGAAATGGTCAATTAGAAATAAGGCCGAGGTATATGTGCCCTTTCTGTCAGGTCCCATCTCAGCAAGATCGGCCGAAACAACTTCCCAACATCCGTTGACACCGTTTGAGAGGTTTCGACCACCATCCCGTAGGGAGTAGTACCGCCTATTTTGGGCGAACTGGCACTTGTCGCAAGAACGGCATACTTCAAGAGCGAGCTTCCTGAGTCCCTTCACGTAGAATGCTCTAGAGAAAACCCATCTGACGTATCGAGCATTGAGACAACCAGAGTCGACGTGATAGGAGTGTAGCACTCTTTTTGCGAAATCAACTCCTTCCTGAGAATCCGAAGGGATGTAGAAGCAGAGACGCGAGAGGCCGTGCCCCGCATTAGATCGGTAGCGACGCATAAGAAGGCCGTCACCCGCCGAGACGAACCCCATGCCATTGGGATCCGAACAACCGCCCGCGCTGCTAAGCTGATTCATGATTGCTGCTACCTCCGGCGAACCGTGTTGAAGGTCCAATAAATCCTTCCGAGCTGGCTGACCGATGCCAATGTTGACACTGTTGGGGATGTGAGGAGAATGATCTTCGGAGATAGCGTAGAGAACCGACGATACCCTGTCGATGTCGACATCGTCTTCTCGGGGAGTCCGATGCGAGTCCTGACTCGCGAGGACGTAAGCTTGAGATGGTGAAGAGGACTTGCGCGTAACTGATGCGCCTCTAGTCCCCTTGATCCTACCGTCAAAGATCACCCCTTGAGGAATGTGCCAGGAGAAGGCCAGACGGCTGAGCGAGTCAGCCTGCAAGTTGTGTTCCCCTGGGAGATGGTCAACGACTGGATGAACATCATAGCGTCGTGCCCACACCTCTTTCAGGTCAGCCACCGCGTCACACAATCTTGAAATTGCAATTCGCTCGATAGAGCGACTCGTCATCCTCTCACCACCCCGCATCCAAGAGAGGGCAGTGCGAGAGTCAGTTAGGAATCTGACCTGGAGACCATGGGAGTAGGGTATGAGGGGGTCGCAGAACACGAAAGAAAGGCCGAGGCAGTATGCTTCTTGTCGGTTCTGATGCCATGACACCTGACTACCTCGCCAGCACTTGGCCTTCCCATATAGGGCGACCTGCCCCCCAGATGCGATACCGATGGAGAGGAAGAAGCCCATACCGTAAGGGGAAGCATCAGTTGTGATAGTAAGCGTGGCGCCACAGAATGCGATCTCGTGCTGACAGGGCTCCTTGCGTTCTGCCAACCGAGAACAAGCGATGTTGATGGTCCGAGCATCCTCTTCGCTGATAGTGACCCTCTCGTCCCAGGAGGTAGGCGACCACTTACCAGAGACTCTCCTTACCAGATCGGCCGCTAAAGCACACTCCGGGTGCAGCCCGAGAACGTCATAACCTGCACCAGCCCACCGAAATGCCTCACGTTTGGTCACGACATCACCGGCCGATAGTTTCCGCGAGACCAGGGTGGCAGGAAGACATTGTAGGCACATTCTGCACCCGCTTTCCCCCTGTGCGCAGATGAAGCGGACTCCGAGGTGGCGAAAATCGTCGAACTTGTTGGACGAACCGTCTGCATTGAAGAATACCCAATGGGTTTTCGCTCCGAGAA